GATATCGGTTATCGGCTACATGAGTTTTAAAATATCGGCATATCGGATATCGGCCAAAATCCCAATATCGTGCATCCCTAGTTTTACCTGCATGGATAGCTGAAAAGTTGTTGCTCTAGTTGTGTCAGAGGTATAAAACTCATTCTGTTCTACCTGCAAGTTATTTTTATTGTATGCTCAGTTTATTATGTTCTGACTATTTTAACCATTACTAGCAACATAAATGTTTTATGTATCACTGCGTCAAAGTATTTAAACTATAATTGATAACCTATACAGAAACATAAATATCTCAGTAAAAATGTTTTACTGCAGTTAGTGCAATTCCTTTTTTTCAAACTGCTTGTTAAGCATATAGTGCACATGTTGTTTAGCTACATTTGTTTTTCTCTAAGCATAAACTAGAGGATTTGCATAAATACTAGGGAAAACTGTTATGGAACACTGTTTAAAAATTTCTACAGTATTTGAAGAAAAAAGGTTTTAAGTTGTGATGTAAGTTAGAAAACAAAAGGAGAAGTGCAGCGTAGGGAACAAGAGAACATGTTGACATTTTAGTTCGTGAAGTCCAGTTAGTGTGGAACCTTTAACCTTCAAAGACATTCAGAGTTCTTGGGACTTTTCATGTTACGTTTACTTGGAATTATGAAGCTCCAAATTTGGAGAACAATTGCAAAGTGTCATTGAGTTGTTGCCAAACCAAGCTAAGGTGACCTTGCTTAGCATCCTTCTGCTAATCAGTGTAAAAAAAACACTTTTCTATGGTTGGTATAAAATATGGAGCTTTGCAGTACAATTGGGCGTTACTTATTTAGGGCTAGTTTATGCCTGATAAGGGTATTTTCTGTGCAGAAATGAGAAAAAAAAAGTCAGAATTGTGTGGCTCTGTAATGTGGCTTTTCCCTGTGTACCTAATAATCTATCTGTAGAAGTAGAAAACATCTGTTTTTTAAGTCTCTTCTATTCTCAATGTGTTGACTAATTTATCCTTGCAAAGATTTGGTGGTAGGAGCTACTTTTTTCAGCTTTCTTTTATTGTTATTACACTGTCACAAGTACAGAGTAACAAAACTTAAAACTCTGCACTTAACTCATCCCCTTGGGGAGCAGTGGGCAGCCATTGTGGGGTTAATGGTCTTGCTCAGGGACCCAGAGTGTCAGCCTGTGGGACATGAACTCAGAACCTCTGGATTCCAAGTGCAATGTCCTTAACCACTAGACCACACTCCTTCTTTTTTTGTTTATTTTTTTGGCATCCGCCATGTTTTTCCGAGTAAAGCTGTCTGCCTGGTGTAAACATTGCAGACACGGCAAGCATAAATGAGGATTTAGTTAACTCAAAGTAAGCAAGTTTCTATTTAAACCAGATTCTCTAACACAACAAAACATTTACCAGACTACATAATCTTTCATATTATTCCAAGTATATTTAGCAAAACATTGCATTATTTCCTAAATTACACAAATAGGTACCGGTATGTCCTGACAATGATTTTTATTTTACATTTGATCATTTCCTTGCAGATCCCCATTGAGCATTTTAAAGCAGCTGATGTGGAGTTCCAGGCCCGATTCCGCCATGAGAACATCGCCGAGCTGTATGGCGCCGTGCTCTGGGACCAGAACGTCCACCTGTTCATGGAAGCTGGGGAAAGCGGCTCGGTCCTGGAGAAGCTGGACAGCTGTGGACCCATGAGGGAGTTTGAGATCATCTGGGTGGCCAAGCAGGTCCTGCGGGCGCTGGAGTATCTGCATTCACACAATGTTATCCATCATGACATCAAACGTAAGAGAAAGAGGAAATGTTTTTTTTTTTTATTTGGTCGACGTGCAGCAGGTTCATGCTGTTCAGGGACTAATTAGCAATAAAGGAAATGATGTAATGGAGCCTAAAGATTTACCCTCAGATAAGTTTTCTTGTGAGTCATTCTTGTCATGAAGATGTACTCTTATTGCTGGTCAACACTGAACACTAAGAATAAATCTGATAAAGCAGCTGCACTCATTGCAACTGGAACCAAAGCTCTGTTAGGCCGGATGCCTTGAGAGATCAAACAGTGGAAATTCTCTGCTGCTATCAGTTTTCTTTTCTAACAAGGACTCTTTTTTTTTGCAAAAAGATTTTGCTGAACTATTAATTTAACTTCCTCCTATGCATTCCTTTGACACACCCTACCTTGTTCTCATTTTAAATCAGGACAAACACATTCCAGGGCTGTAGTTAGCTTACATACTGTGCAGCAAAAAGCTGAAACTGAAAGAAAAGAAAATCTGTCAAATTTACGTTCCTGAATCGTTGTTTTTTTTCTCCTCAGCCAGTAACATCGTCCTAATGTCGGACAAGGCCGTCCTGGTGGACTTTGGTCTGACAGTGCAGATGACAGAGGATGTATACACCCCCAGAGACCTCAGAGGAACAGAGGTATGAAACGAACAAGAAAAAACACAAGTCAAAAAGGCCTGACGCAGCCTTACAGGATGCAAGCATCAGATTCTTGTGAACACAGCCTTTTAGTGCTGCTTCCTCGAATCAAACTTGATGTTTGTTTACTAGAACAGTCAGCAGTCATGTCGTTTCTGACTCAGACTTGTTTTTTCCCCAAAAAAGTTTTTACTAATTGGTCTAGGGACTTGTCAGCACTTGTCTGTCCTTTCCAAGCTCTAAAGCTGGGGATCAGGGGCTGCCAAGAGTTGCTGCATAGCAAACAGCAGCTACTAATAAAACAGTTTGGGTCCGTCCAGGATGCTTTGCTCTAAGCTGCAGGACATTTTAGGAGTAATCCCAGGGATTTCTCATTCGCGTTTTTTCCCACAACCTGCGCTCCTTTTTGCTTTTCAAATGTTTTGGCCTATTATGTGTGTCACATGTGCACACTGAGGCTCTTACAGTTGGGCTTGCGGAAAGTCCCAGGGCAGACACTCTGTGGCAATAATAACAGAGAGTGAGCCTGCAAATACACCGAGTGGCTCAGACACACATTAACAGGGGGAGAGCAAGCTGGAATTTCCAACAGAGACAAAGATGAATTTGGCTGCTGTGTTTGGCCTTCACTCTCAGGCCAACCGGCTGCATTGCACTTTGACACACAAACACACATTTACACAGAGCGTGGGCCTAAAGGTTAGCTTGTTTGTTACAGAAAGCCCCTTCTTGTGTAAGAGGACACTTCCTGTTTGCCGTCTCTCTGATTGTCAGAAAGATAAATGCTTAGTAAATGATGAACAACTTTCCTTTCTCACTTTGTCATTTGTTTCTCATACCAACATCTGTTGTTTTATCCCCCTGTTCATATCAAACAGATGTACATGAGTCCAGAACTGGTTCTGTGCCGAGGACATAACACCAAGACGGACATCTACAGCCTTGGCACAACCATAATCCACATGCAGACCGCTAGCCCTCCTTGGGTCAGGAGGTACCCACGAACCGCCTACCCATCTTACCTCTACATTGTGAGTAGCATTTATTGTCCCGTTTTTGTCAGGTAATCACTGACAGACAATAAGTAAACGACTCAGTCAGAAGGGTTTGGGCAAAGTCTGTTACACAATTGGTATGTAAATAATGCAATTTACAAGAAAATGATAGATCTAGAACAGTCAGTTAGCCAAAAGTGTCTAGTATGGATCAATGTACTTCCAAGTTGTATGGAGTGGGCAGAAGATCTAGTGAGATAAAGATCTGAATACATGTTGCTCTACCTCCTGTTCCTAGCCGTAACCTTTCACCTTTCGCTGGGTCAACAATAGGAGAACAATCCAGGGTAGAAAAGGATCTCTGGACTCCAGGCAACCTTCAACCCTACAGACGTTATTACACAGTAGACACAAGCAAGAATGACACTGGTCAAATTGGGACTACAGACTTCTGGAAAAGAACTACAAAAAACAAAAACAAACTGAACAAAGTGCTAAAACTCAACTTTATAATATCAAACATATGCATGTGTGCACCTTAGCATATGTCAGAAAGTGTACACAACTGAAGCAATCGTTCCATTTTGTTATACTCCGTGAGCTGGGATGTGCCAAAACATTCTGTCATGCAAAGGATTATAGGCGGCCATATTGCTCCTAGCGAGGACTGGGAACGTTAGGAGCTTCCTATGCTAACCGCAAGGATGCTGTGGTGTTTGGATCAAGCGAAAGACTCCAGGGAACCTTGACATTACAAAATACCTGCTTGAGGGAAGAAAAAAAAGTATATTACAGACATCTAGAACAGGCAAAACAGGCGGTCAAAAGTATTGACATCTCAAGTGGACGAATCAGACAGGTGTTTGATCAACCCAAAGTTAGTCAAAACATAGAATGAACGTCACTAAACCCAAAAGATTTTTTGTTTTAGTGTCACACAAGATTATTTGCGTGACAGAGGTCAGTAGGGGTTGTTTGAGGCCAGGTGGGATGTTTTGTGGTTGTGCGGCATGTAGCAAACAACGATGAAACAAGCTTGGTTTTAAAACCAATGATGGGGGCACCTCTACATGTCCTTTCATCTTGTATCATGCTGAAAAGAGAAGGTTGTTTTTCTAGAACTCTTTGCTCTGTTTCTATAGAAATCCTTGCAGATATTTACTAACATCATGGAAAAAAGGTCTTTACATGCAGAATCAGTGGTGTGATATAATACAGTTTGATTATAATGGTACTAAAATCTACCTACCTTAGGGCATAGGTCATCTCAAACTTTCTGTAATTTAAGTTTTATGTGCAATTACACCTGACAAAGCAAATTTCAGGCTTTATTATCACGTTTTTTATCAGACAGATTCTAAATTACCGGTAGTAATGAGTTTTTCTAGACCAGGTTCTGCAGCAACCATACTATGTTGTTTAGGGTTAATATTTCACCATCCAAAGGAAATGCATGCTCATCCATCTTCTTGTCACAGTTTGAGTCTAAAACTAAACAGCTTTTTTTGTTTTCCAGGACATATGACAGTAAAAGTAGCTTTAATATTTGTTTTAGATCTTTTTTCTTGTCATAAGTAAATTTTTATATATAATTCTCAAAAAATATATCAACATCTTATGACAGTTTGCTTGTTCTCGGAAAACAAACCTTTTTTTTTCTGCGAAAACTTAATTTTCTTTATTTTTAACCCTTGTAATAGTAATTTCCTTAGATATTCATGAATAATCACGATCAGTGATATAAAAATCAAGTATAAAGGTCTTAAAATAAGTGTCCTTTGCCTTAATATGAGCAAGTAAATAAGATGATCAGCTAATGAAATGATTATTTCTTGCCTTGAGATAAAATACTTAGATATTATGCCCTTGAAATAAGATAATAGGGTTCTTTTTTTAATGTTAAACATAAATAATCTTATTGCATTCCTGCATTGTCTTACCTACCTGTTCAAATTAAGTGAAAATACATGCATTTTATGAAAAATGCACTTTCATATAAATGATTGCAGTATGTGAATAAGTCCTATAACATTTGTTGCACTTAAGTTGTTTGTCTGAGCTGAATGCAATGAAACTCTTTGGATTGTAAAGCTTTCAGACCCCTTTGCTAAGAGATACGTTTACCAATAATCAAATTTTGCTATCAGTACATATTTCAGTAAATGCAGGGAAAGAAAGTGACGACAAAATGTATTAAGAGAAAGTATTTGCTACATTGACGTCACTTTCCATTAATGAGCTTTGGGATTCCAGTCTAGATGTTGAGGAGATAAGAGCAGTTTTAACCTTTGCACATGATGTGAGTCAACAGTGCTTCGGCTTTTTTAAATAGTGTTCCATTGCATGGTTCTGTTTCTTAAATGGATACTTGACTTTTTTAGAACAATATTTTTTTTTTTCAGTTACTCACTTCCCCATGAAACTCGTCATGGAGAAGCATTGGTTAGAATTACTTCAACAGTCTGAGTTTTACTTTAACTTGTTCTGTTTTTGCCTTGACCTCATCAAACAGGTTGCTTAGTTTATCACAGCTGCCGGCACAGTGGTTTTGAACATCTGTGCACCAGCTGCATCTAAAGTTTGCTTCTCTCTTGCGGTTTTAGTGAGTTATCTTTTATCTGTGTGTGCAAACAGATCCACAAGCAGGCGCCGCCTCTGGAGGACATACCGGAGGACTGCAGTGCAGTAATGCGGGCGTTTTTGGAGCGGGCCCTAGAGAGGAACCCCACCCTGCGGAGTTCTGCGTCCGAGCTTCTGAAGGACGAGGCCCTGAATCCTCCCAGGGAAGATCAGCCCCGCTGCTGGAGCCTTGACTCAGCTCTGGAGGAAGCCACCCACATGTTGCAGCAGCAGCCTAGTCAGCACCACGACACCACGCAGGGTAAGCATTTTGGGGCGGAGCTTAGAATCGTCATTAGACACACCACTCATAATAGTTGCTTACTTTTTTTTTCTCTCTCTCTCTCTACAGAATCCTCTCTTTACTCTGAAGACTCTGGCCACTTACGGAGGAAGGGCTCTTTGTACATAGACTTGGGGGCCTTGTCAGGCTACAGCAAGCTGGTGGCAGGACCTCCAGCCTCTGAATACGGATAACCGTATTCCTCCAAAAGATTGATCTTAGCAGAACTGTAAAGGCCAGTCGCTCATTTGCTTTTAGCTTTTGAGTTGAAACTTCCAGAGAGCTGCAGGCAATATGACTCATGAATAAAACAGGAGACATGGTGCCCACATTGAGCAGACTGCATTTTAGGAGACAGCAGCTGTTGTAACATCATATTTAGGCTCACATTTACCGTTTTTTTAAAATGGTCATTCTCTTTAGGAGGGCCTGTTGAAGGATGAAAGTGCTGCATCCACTTAAAGTCATGTGTCAGTTAATAGAGGGAATTTTCTTTCCACGGACTATAATCATGCTCATCTGGGGGAGTTAAATTGATCAATGCTGCAATAAGGACTTGAGGCAGAGCATTTTTAATCAAGCCTTTACTATAACTGCCAACTTGCTTCCTTGTTGGCTTTATCTTTTTATTTAAAGCGGACACATGTATGTTTTGTTTACGTATTGTCATTAGTCTGAGCTGAATTCTCACATCCTTATGTTCTATAAAAAGAGAATTTCATACTGAATTTTAAAAAAAAAATCTACAAACATAAATATAAATTGGGATTAAGTCAGACTTAAAGACAATATTTAATTTGTGTAACTTCAACACATCTTAATGCCAGAAATCCCCTTTTTGGTACTATATTATTATAGTTATGTTGAGATTTTTTTGCCATATTGAAAAATAAATTCTTACGTGCTGCTTAGAGTAAATATGTTCGCCTCTTAAAAGAGATTTCCAGTTAACAAAAATAGGCTAAAAACAGAAGGGCCAAAAGAAAAAGAAAAGAGATGTGGCTTTTTCATAGAGTACACAGCAGAACACTGGTTATTGAAGTATCATTGTGTGGAGGAAAGCGTTATATGTTATCTGTACTTCACTGTGGTAGTAATCCATGTACAGCTTCTCACCAGCTCCAAGGCATAGCCTTTACAGATGCAAACTGCTAAAAAAAGTAGTGAACGATTAAAAGGGATCAACCACTTGCTACACAGGCTGGGCTAAGGATGTTGTAATTTTCTTAATAATTTATAAAATTGTAATTTGAGATAAAAACATGGTATTATTTGAATATTATATATTTTTGGTTCTATTTTTCCACCATGGAGGTCGCCATTTTTTCCCTTTGCAATGCATGCTGGGTTGATGACCTGTTAGGTCCTTTCAGGGCGCTCCAGTTTAAACAGAAAAGCTTTAACATTCATTAGTGTTTTGGCTGGATTGAGCTAGTGCTACAACACCTAGCATATGTGTAGCGGTAGCTACAAAATTTCCGCCACGCCAACAACTCCATCGAGCGACCCCCTTTCAGAGGCATAGACAGGTATTGGGTATTACAGGCTAACAAAGAACCAAAACGACCGAAATTCTTAATGGGTGGACCCATTCGTCTAGTTCAAATTGCATGTTTTCTGATCCAAAACAAGGCTTAGTTTTTGGTCCGCTCTATAAAGCCTCAAACTCAACGCTAATTCTGACATTTTGAATTGAAAAAGCTTCCTAGATGGGAAGCGAAATGTCTTCAAACTAGTGTTGCACCGATGCCATTTTTTGTCCCCGATACCGATACCTGGCTATGCAGTATGGCTAATATCGATACTATACCGATACTATCTGTTTGAAATTGATGTGTGTGTGTATTTATGAAGAACTGCGTACTACTTGGATGTAAAATAATTACCATCATGGCTTTGTCAAGCTGGTGCCTACCTTACTAATACAAAGTTAATCCAGTAGAACCTTTTATTGCCTATCTGGAATGGGCGACAATAGTTGAATAAACTTTTGGCTCTCAAAATGGTATCGTGCCCTATTTGTTGGTACTCGCCGATACCACCATTTTAGTGCTGGATCGGGGCCCCGCCCGATACTGGTATCGGTATCGGTGCAACACTGCTTCAAACTTTGAAACAAAGTGCAGTGGATTGTTTTTTCTTTACTTGCTTGGAACTAGCATATGTCATTTACCCAGAATGCATTGCAGCTTAAACAACATGACGACATCTACCTAACAATATTCTATTTCTATTTATAAAAACTAAATAGCTAATAGCATTTTTACTGTCTTGTATTTACTTTGAAAGAAAATAGAAAGAATGTTTATAAAGCTAATCGTGGATTAGCAACGCAACTGAGGATGTTTGTAACGACATAATCTTGCCATTTGCAAGTTATATGTTTCAAGTTATGGCTGTTTAATTCTCCTCCTTTGAATAAACAAGACCTAAAAACAACCTGCAGAGTTATTAATTTGCAGCTCTGCAATACAAAAGGCTAAGCCACTGGTGTGAAGCTGACCCAAAAGAGTATATCTAGAATGTAAGCTATCTGTTTAGGTATGTATGAATTACACAGGCATGTACTGAATCATCTGTAGTTCATCATGGACTTACTTTTGTTGATTCCTGTGGAATATTTATAGCAACCCCTTTTCTATGCAAAATTAAGCTTCTTAAGAATGCATATGTGATTTATGTTGTACACAGCTTGTTAGAGAATGCTTGTTGTGTTCATGCCTTTGGTATTAAGTATATAAATTATGCAGTGTTTGCAATGTATTATTGAATATGTTGTTAATGCAATAAAAACAAAAATCCAATGCTTTGTTTTTCATTATAAATTCACTTATTTTGATAAGGAACTTAATGAGATTGTGTAGGATCTGCTGTTCAACTAATGTGACACAGCTTGTTATACAATTTCCAACTTTGACACCAGGTATTTCTTGAGCTGTAGAATAAATAATATAAATAGTTTTATGTGGGTTGAGCTGAGTTGTATAAACTTTCCCATACCTCACATTAGCACCTATATGGTAATGTGTTTCAGGGGGAGGACAAGTTAAAGATCAACAAATGAAGTGGAAAGAAAATCCTACTCAGTTTTCACAAACTTTTACAAATAAAATCTATAACAAATAAGGTCTGGATTTGCATCAGTAAGTGTTTCTTAGAAACTACTGTTGTTACAGCGAATGATTTCACCATCCTAGCAGATCTACGAATCTATTTGATCTGGAGCTCAAACTCAGTCAGACTGGATGGAGAGCTTCTCTGAGCATCCATTTTCAACTTTTTGCCACACAGTCAATATTAGATTTCTGTCTGGACTTTGACTAGGCCAGTGGTTCCCAAAGATTTTCTTCTGGGCCCCCCTTTGGATTACCACCACCACCACCACGACCCCCCCCAAAAAAAAGAAATAGAAAAAAATAAACTGGGCACACACATCGT